AGGATGGTGGATAAGGCACAGACACGCTACTCCGAGGACAGGCACAAGCAAACAGTGCCTGTGACGGGGCATCCACGAAGCCGATTTCACCTGGAGTCCGCCAAGCTCTGCCCTGAAGTGCTCTCAGCTGGAGCTTGCTTTGTCCCTGGGGCTGGTTCAGAAAACTCTTCAGACCACATTCTCTTGGTGTTTCCCAAACATCTGACTCCAATCCTGGAGGCAAAGAGAAGCCGCGAGGAGGCACGCCAGCCAGGCATGACTTAGAAGCACGAGGGATGCTCCGGGCTCCTGCTTCTTGCGTCCCTCTTGGGGTAGCCCCAGGGCCCAGGCTCCAGGTGCACAGCCCGGATGGGGTGCCTTTGAAAGCGCGGGGCTTTCAGATCATGCGCAGGGCACCCAGAGGTGAGCTGGCAGTCACACGAGTGAGGTGCTAGAGACCGTGGGCTTCCAGCTGCTCCTGGACTCAGCCTTGCATGTCCGCTGCCACCAGGCTCACTGTGTCCGCTCAGACCTCTGCTTCTGTCCTTGTCTGGCTGCAGCCACAGGACCCCCGGCCGCCGCTCTTCCCCTGTCCCCAGTTCCATTTCCCTGCCAGCCAGGTCAGGGGGCCCATTGGCTCAAGACTGTTCCCAATTCTCCTTTGTCCTCCGGATAAATTCTAAGAGGCCACATGTGACAGACATGACCCTGCATCAACGTCGTTCTCAGGAGCCCAACTTCGGGCTGCTCAGGGACACCCGAGTTTGAATCTTGGGACTGGTCCGAGAGGCAAACTCGTGTGCTGGAGTTGGAAACCTTGAACAATTTTCATAGCCCCTGGAAGCCTCTGTTCCCTTGAATGTAAACTAGTAATAATGCTTCGTACCCCAAAGCTACTGTGAAGCCTCTGTGCCCAACCCAGAGCTTGGGACAGTGCAAGAGGTTTGCAGGCCAGCACATGGAATGAGGGTGGAGGACGAGGTGTGTGTGTCGGGGGAGGGGGTGCTGTTTGAACTAGGGAAGATGATGAGACCCACTTTCAGACATGCTGAGCATAAAGGCCTACGGGGCTCCAAGGGAGGTGTCCAAGGGCAGCAGGACAGGTGGGCCTGGAGTTAAGACCAAGGCTGTACTGAAAAGGAACATGGGAGGCTCCAGCAGGAAGATGAGCTCATGGTGGTGAGAGGGGCCGAGCATGAGGTCTCCACAGCCAGAGGTTCACCTACAAGGAAGAGAAGCCCTAGAAGGAGGCCAAGATGGAGAACCGGAGAGTAGGAGAAAGGGCTAGTGAGGAGTGGACAGGAGGGCAGAGGCTTCAGGGAAGGCAAGTTAACTGAAAGGAGAGATGCATCTGTGGAACTTGGGGACAGGATGGCTTTCACGGGGGGCCTTTGGCCAGCTCAGAAGGAAGAGCTGACAAGGGGGAATGAGACCCCTGATTTTAGACAATTTTGAAGAAATGTGACTGAGAATGGAGGAAGCACTCAAGAATGATGCTGGACTGAGGTAGAAGAAGTTTTTTTTTATTGTAGTGGCCAGTGGTGAGTGCTTGCTGTGGGGAAGGAGCCAGTGGCAAGACAGCCACAGGGCGTGGGTGCCGGAGGGGCTCAATAAAAGTTCGCTGCCTTTGGACCTCCCTGGTGGCGCAAGGGGTTAAGACACAGCCTATGAAGCTGTCCGCAGTCTCTGCAGCACGAGTTCCATCCCCAGCCAGGGAGCTACCCACATGGCACAGCAGACCTCTCCTGACTCACCCGCTGCTCCTCTCAGCAGTGTGTTTCAATCAATCTGCCTGTTCTGCTCCCCACTCTGTCTCTGGTGACTCCTCTCACCCCCCACAACTCTGGCCTGTACCCCAGTTCCTGTATGTATAAATAAATAAAACTTTAAAAAAAAAAAGTTTGCTGCCTTTGAGGATGAGGAGGAGAGGGTCTGGAAGGGAGGCCCCGTTGTGCCAGCAGGGACGGGGTGGGCCTGGGGCGAGCAGAGTCCAGGGCAGGGTGACTTTGGGGCTCTGTTGCGTCACAGAGGAAAAGGATTGTGGTTCCAGGAACCCCGCTGTGGTCAGAGCATAAGGTTGGCACCCCCACCCCAGAACTTCCCCTCCCTCCTGAAACCCAGCTGTCAGCTGGCCTTTATCCCCTTCAGAGCCGCACCCCCCACAGGCCAGCAGATGGTGCCCGTGAGCTGCCGGGTTGCGCAGACCCGCGGCAGCCAGCCTGCCTCTCACCTCCTGGGGAACCCCTCCGAGCCTGGGGTGTGCTGAAGGTCTGATTCGCCAGGTTTCTAACTCACGGGTGGGGGGAGCCAAGACTTAGGGAAGCCTCGGGCTGAGGGTTAGAGATGGGCTGGCTCAGGAGCTCTTCTCGCGGTGGCTCCTCTGCCCCCGCCAGCCCTTGCCTTATCTGCTAGGGTGACTGCTCGCGGCCCCCCTTCTCTCCTCCATGGAGGCCCCTGCCAGCCAGACTCCTGGTTCTGGTACAGGCTGGTTCTCTGCCCCTGGGCAGATACGAGCTGGCACCACGCCTCAGACAGGGCTGGGCCAGCTCCTCCCAGCCATGCCTGCCCCAGCCACCTCCTTCCACACTAGAGCATCTGCACCTGACACGGGCTAAGGGCTCAGCTGCTGAGGCGGCCACGGGGCCACCCTGGAAAGGAGAGCTGGCTTCCCGGCTTAGGCAGCCGAGTGAGAGGGGGAGCTGGGGGAGAGATGGGTTATAAAGATGTGGCAGATCGTACAATCCCACCAAGACCCAAACCCACAAAATGAATGGTTCTGTCTAAGGTGGCAGAGTATCGCAGAATGGGCTGGAAACCGGCCCACCCCCCCTCGCACCCTTCACCCCCCCAACCCCCCACCCCCAGTGCTTTAACTCCCCCCACACACAGCCCTGTACTCAGCAGCCAGAGCCGTCATCCCGACGCCCTCCCCGTTGCGGGCAGGGGAGCGCCCCGTGTCTCAGCCTGTTCTCACCTTTCTGTCCCGCTGCCACCTCCCTGCCCTCCGACTCCTGCTCGGGCAGGAGCTGCTGTCGTGTGACCTTGACCTTGAAGACTGCCTGGGACCTCCGCCCCTTCCTCTCCCCAGCCACAAGGGGAAGCCCTGAATGACCTGAGACCCGAGCAAGGATCCTCAGTCAGGCTGGAGCCACAGCTCAGCTCAGAGCCGGGGCAAGGGAGCGCGAGCGGGGCATGGATTCAGGGCAGCAGGAATCCGCAGGTTTCAGAAAAGCACTGTTTTCCCGAGTTTCCAAAGGATGACCCCAGACCAAGGGAAAGAGTCCCCAGAAACGCAACGCACAGAAGTCCTCACACGAGCGCGTCACGGCGTCACGGCACAGGAGACACATGCCGCACGTGCACCGACGCGTCACAGAGCTCACGGGCAGTGTGCAAACAGGCACAACCTCGTTTCCTCAGTGTGGAGGCTATCACGTGTCACGGTGGCCTCTTTTGAACACAGGTGCCCACGGGCACACTAGGTCACATGCCTAAGGTCAGGGCCCCACACCGTCCCAGGCCTGTCCTGCCTCCCAGGGCCAGAGCTAGCCTGTCATCTGTTCCTCCAGGAGGGCCAGGTGGGGGCACAGGTGTGGCCCTGTGCAGGAGATGGGCCCTTCACCCAGAGCCTCTGCCCTTACGTGGGTCTGTCTCCCGGCTGCCTCCGTGAGACCCCACCAGGGGGTCATCTCTGGATGGCAGAGGCTTTGGAGGAGGCACTGTCATGAAGCCCTGGCACAGAGCCTGGGCACCTCAGAGAATGGGCAGAGGGGCTGGGAGAGGCCCATGACCTCCCAAGGCCTTGAATGGAGCCTGGAGGAGGCACTGGGCAAGGCCTGGAGACTCACAAGAAGCAGGGACCCCTCAGCACCCGGCCTGGCAGTCAGCTACTGGCACCAACTCCTAGTTACCTGGCAGAGCCCTGGCCCGGATGCCAAGCACAGGGTGCCAGAGCTGGGGGTGGGCAGACTGGGGGGCCGACGGGCCACACACAAACACATACGTTCGTAGACACTGGCAGGGGATTGCACCCACACGCAGCCACTCACTTGATCCCCTGGGATCATGATGGGGGGGCAGGACAACCCTGTCTGAGAGGCCGCCCTCCCCAACTCCGGGGTGGGGGCCCTACTGGCCTACTCTTGGAAACCCTGGGGTCGGAGGGTGCACTGGAGGTACTAGGGGGCCTAGACGCTTCCCGGGACCCCGCCCCACCCTCACCCCCTCCCACACGCGTATACTTGTGTGGCAGGAGGAGGTGGGTTGGCTGGGGCATCTCCGGGGCTGGGCCGTGCAGGGGAGGCAGGGCCGGGGCTGCCAAGCACCCGGCGGTCCTCTCGCTCCCCTGCTCCCGCCCCAGGCCGCGGGCGCCGGAGTGCGAGTGCGCGTCCGGGCGTGCGCCGGGGCCGGGGGCCGGGGGCCGCGCGGCGCGGGGGTGCGGTCGGGGTGCCCGCGCTGCCGGCCAGGGCTGGTGGGCTCCCCGCGGCGTGGCGCGGGCCGGGCGGCCGCGGCGGGGGGCTCGGGGCGCGGCGGGGCGCGGCGGGGCGCGGCGGGGCGCGTCCTCAGGTGTCTGCGGCGAGGGCGAACTGGGGGTGCCCGCCCCCCACGGCGGCTCTGCGTCCCGGCGCGTGCGGGGGGCCGCGGGGGCTGCAGGACACCGGGGCTGCGGCGGCGCGGCCGGCGGCTCCTCCTGGAGCCACAACTTTGGGACTTTGTTCCGGCTTCTTCGAAAGCGGATCTGGCCGCGGGGGCGGGGCGGGGGGGGGGGCACCTGCCCGGCGGGGGGTGCCCGAGCGCCGCGGCGGAAAGCCCCGCCCCCCGCTCCGCCCCGCCCCCGCCCCGCCCCCGGGCCCTTTATAAGCGCGGCCCGAGGGCGCACGGAGAACGCGAGTGTCCCTCCCGCCCCCGGCCGGTGCCCTCCGCGGCGCCCGCGCCCCGGCCCCGGCCCCGAGCGCCCTCCGCGCTCCGCAGCCCGGGCCCCGCCCCGCCCCGCCCCGCCCTGCCCCGCCGGCCCGGCCGCCATGGAGCGCTGGCCTTGGCCGTCGGGCGGCGCCTGGCTGCTCGTGGCGGCCCGCGCGCTGCTGCAGCTGCTGCGCGCAGACCTGCGCCTGGGCCGCCCGCTGCTGGCCGCGCTGGCGCTGCTGGCCGCGCTCGACTGGCTGTGCCAGCGCCTGCTGCCCCTCCGGCCGCCCTCGCCGTGCTGGCCGCCGCCGGCTGGATCGCGCTGTCCCGCCTGGCGCGCCCGCCGCGCCTGCCCGTGGCCACTCGCGCGGTGCTCATCACCGGTGAGTGCGCGGGGCGCGGAGCGCGGGGAGTCCAGGCTGGAGAGCGGGGCCGCACCCCCGAGGGCTGGGCAGGCGAGGCGAGGCGGGACCCCCGAGGGAGTGCGCCCCCGGGTGCAGGGAGCCAGCTGAGGAGGAGCCGCCCCGAGTCGGGGCTGACTACCTGTCGCTGCGGGAAGTGCTGGCGGGAAAGGGAGCGGGCAGGTGCGCGGAGCAGACGGGTGACGGAGGAGGCGGGAGGCTGCTGGAGTTTGGGGGTGATGCTGCGCCCCTCTCCAAAGGGGCAGTGTCTGTCGGGACAGGGGGCCATGCCCTGAGGGACGAGGGCTCGCGACCGGGGGATGGTCGCTCCCTAAACTCCGCCTGACATCCCCACGTGGGGCGCACCACCTCCTCCTCCCTGGGACCTGGCAAGGCGAACGTGGGGACTTGGGGTCCTGCCCCCCGGCTGTTGGGTTTCCTGGAGTTCAGGAAAGCTTGAGGTCAGCCCGAGGAGCAGCAGGGCATTCAGCTGCCACTCATGCACCACCTCTCACCCCCTCGCTGCTGAGGTGGTGGCCTGGAATCTGCGCCCAGCACCCCACAGCCCATCCCTGATGCGCCCCGGAGCCCAGGAGGGACGCCTCCCGGAGCTGGGCTCAGGTGCCTCAGGCCGCTGGCTGAGCTCTCTTTGTCTGGTGCAGGGAATAAATCTGTCACCAGAATGAGGGAAAGAGAAGGGGGGCTGAGGCCCAGCCGGAAGTGGGGAGGGGGAGAAAGGCCAGGGGGCACAGGCTCAGTTGTGTGGGGGGAGGGGCGCGCTCTGCTCTCCCCCAACCTCGTAGTTTTGGACAGGTGCCTCCTGGCTCTGCCTTTGCATTGGGTCTGTGCTGGGGGCAGCTTTTCCCAGAGGCTTTTGGTCCAGTAGGGGGCCCTGCATGACCGGAGGAAGCTGGGAGAACTTCCCAGAGGAGACTGTCTTTGCGCTGGGCCTCAGAGCATGAGTGGACATAGGTGAGGCATGGAAGGTGTTCTGGACCAGACGGCAGGTGTGGGACAAAGGTGCGAGGCAGGTATAAGCATGGCCTGGGTAGGGGACAGTAAGGAACCAGGCTGGCTGCTGGGCGTGGGGGCAGGGGAGGTGGTTTCCTCAGAAGGGGCCTTGAACACCAGGCAAGAAGGCTGCTGCTGAGACTTGGCTCGCGAGGGCTTTGGGTCTCAGTGAAGACGGTGGTGACAGAGCAGGGCTCGGGCTGAATGGGACCGACCCAAGTTTTAGGTGCAGAGCATGAGGCCACACGGGACTCCGGGTCCAGGGATTTGAGGAAGGAAAGATGAAAAATTCACCTGTTATGAGACAAGGACAAGGTTGTTGGCGCTCTCCTCCTGCCCCACAAGGGGCAACTCCCCTTCTAATTTGTGAGCTGCCTGCACAGGCTGCAGGCCACTGCAGGTACCGAGAAGGCAGAGGGCCATCTCCCCTGCGCTCACCACAGGCCCTTGTGTTGCTGCTGTTACTTCTATAACTTTGAATCTGAGAGTGAGGTGAGAGATGTCCCTCTTCTGTGACTTGGGCTCCCCCAGCTCCAGGCTTAGACACCCCGTGTGCGGGTAAGGAGTAGCCTCCCGGCCTACTCCCTGCTCTCAGTGGGGTTCTTCTCTCACCACAGGAATGCAGGACAAGTAGGTGGCTAGGCCCTGCCCACCTGCCAGGACACTGTCTGGTGGCTGCCGGATGACCTGCGGCCCTCCCCTTCCTGAGAATGCCTCTGAGAACTGCTGGTCAGGGCTGCTCCTGGAGCTCAGGCTCGGGGTCAGGGTTTGGGCAGGAGGCTGTGTCCCTTGCAGGCACTGAGGTATGCGAACAGGCAGGCGGGGTGGAGGGGTGGAGGTATGTACAGGTATCTGAGTGTGTGCAGGGGAGCGGGGCATGTGCCAGGCATGGGTGACTGTGTTGGGACCACAACTGAGGCCTGGAAGCCCTCAGTTTCTCTGTAAAGGTCCTGTCTGCTCTGGGAGGAATCTTAGGCAGTTACACACACACACACACACACACACACACACAGGCACACACATACACACGCTCGCTCACTCCCCTCCCCCAGCCAGACTTGCCGGGAAGGACCCCTCAGCCCCTGGCTGGCTGGCTGGCTGGCAAGTCCCCAGGCTCTCAAAGCCCAGCTTATAGCCCCCTGCTCAGCTTTGTTCTCTGCCGCTGGAGGGGGAGGGGTGCTGAGCCCTCCAGGAGGGGAGAGGCAGAGCTGCTTCTGCTCACCAGGACCACCGGAGGGGGGGTGGCCCAGCAACCTCCTCCTCACTGGCCCGCCTCCTCCCCTCGCTGGCCGCCCACAGAGCCAGGATCAAAATGGGAACAATCAGGGAAGCTGGAGCTTATCAGTCCCCACTCTGGCTCTGCCTGGGGGCTCCTCACTACCTACCAGGGAAAGGAAATGGAGCCTCCAGTGCTCGTGTCTGGGCCATACCACCCTGCACGCCTCATCCCAGAAGCTACGCAGGGTTGGGCCTGGCTAGTCCTTGGATGGGAGAGGAAGCCTCCAGGAGTGGTCACTGACTTCAGGTTGCCCTTGGTGGGTGGGGGATGGGGTTTAAATGCAGGTCTGTTCTCTTCATCCACCATCATCCTGTGCCCGGTGGGCAAGTGGCCTGGGCCACAGAGTGCCCCATGCTGGCCACTGATCAGAATTCCAAGGGTGGAGGTCGGAGGTGAGGTGGGGCTGGGCTTCCAGCTTGCCCGGGCCCTGGAGTGTCAGAGGGAGGTGGGCTCAGGCCCCACCAGGCCTGGATGATGAGAGCAGAGAGTGTGAGCCGAGGGCACGGGTTTCGTCGTGAGGACGCAGGGAGCCCGGGATAGGCGTGGCAGCAGAGTGACATTGTCCTTCTTGGAAAGATCTCTCTGACTGCATAGGTAGAGGGTGGATTCAAGGGAGCAGAAGTGGGCAGGGCTAACTAACTCCAGGGCCACCTCAGTGTCCAGGTAACCGGAGGAGAGCCCACGCGGTAATCCGAAGCTCGCGAGCTGTCAAGCAGGCAGAAGGACATCAGGTCTGGGACTGGCCTCAGGCGGACCCACCGTAGAGCAGGCCTTCCTCTTTGCTGACTGACTGGGAAGCAACTTATCGCCACTGGGTCTTGGTTTCCTCATCTGTAAAGTGGGAATCATAGGCCGTGCTGATGGAGCAGCTATGGGGAGTCAGAGGGAACAGCTGTGAAGAGTTGAGGCCCAGGTGTTCAGCCAGAGGGGCGAAGCCCATCAGCGCTGGGCAGGCCACTGCTGGGAGCTTGGGTGCCCTGGGGCCTGACTCCCGCCTAGACCCTGGTAATCCTGACATTGTCTTAGGCTGGTGATCCTGGGGTTGTCTGGGCCGCAGTTCACCGACTCTTCTGCCCCTGCCCAGGCTGTGACTCTGGCTTTGGCAAGGAGGCAGCCAAGAAGCTAGATGCCATGGGCTTCACGGTGCTGGCCACCGTGTTGGGGCTGGATAGCCCAGGTGCCCTGGAGCTACTTGCCTGCTGTTCCCCTCGCCTGAGGCTGCTACAGATGGACCTGACCAAGCCAGCGGACATCAGCCGGGTCCTAGAGTTCACCAAGGCCCACACCACCAGCACAGGTCAGTGGGTGCGGCTCCGCCAGGAGAGGGTATGGCTGGATGTGGTGAAGGGGCTGGGGTTGGAGCTTTGCTGGGGGCTCATCCGCTGTTTTCTGCCCCGGCTTCGCATCCTCAGGCCTGTGGGGCCTGGTCAACAACGCCGGCTACAACGATGTAGTGGCCGATGTGGAGCTGTCTCCGGTGGCCACATTCCGCAGCTGCATGGAGGTGAATTTCTTCGGCACACTCGAGCTAACCAAGGGCCTCTTGCCACTGCTGCGCCGTTCAAGGGGTCGCATTGTGACGGTGGGCAGCCCAGCAGGTGAGTGCCTCCCCGCCGCCCTGCCTGGGGCAGAAGAGGAGCCGCCACGGGACTGGGGGGGAATATTGGAGGCCCTGGCCCAGGCTGAGCGGCCCTGGCCCCTATCCATTTCCAGGAGACATGCCATATCCATGCCTGGCGGCCTACGGGACCTCCAAAGCAGCCATGGTACTGCTCATGGATACATTTGGCTGTGAACTTCTGCCCTGGGGGATCAAGGTCAGCGTCATCCAGCCTGGTTGCTTCAAGACAGGTAGGGTTCAGTGTTGGGTGACACGTGGGTGGGGCCTAGGGCTGGGAACAGAGGGGTGGCATGGTGTCATCTGGGCTGGGGTCAGGTCTGAGGAATGGGCAGGGCTTAGGCTGGAGGTGAGTAGCAAGTTGTGGGCCAGTCCTGGTCCTGGCTTAGCCCTCTCTAGCTGACCTCAGGCCCCCCCCACTCTGACCTTGCCACTCCTTCCCCAGCGTCAGTGCAAAATGTGGGCCACTGGGAAAAGCGCAAGCAGCTCCTGCTGGCCAACCTACCCCAAGAGCTGCTGCAGGCCTATGGCGAGGACTACATCGAGCACTTGCACGGGCAGTTCCTGCACTCGCTGCGCCTGGCCATACCAGACCTCAGCCCGGTTGTAGATGCCATCACTGATGCGCTGCTGGCAACCCAGCCACGCCGCCGCTATTACCCAGGCCGTGGCCTGCGGCTCATGTACTTCATCCACTACTACCTGCCCGAGGGCCTGCGGCGCCGCTTCCTGCAGTCCTTCTTCATCAGTCACTGTCTGCCAAGGGCACTGCGGCCCGGCCAACCCAGTGCCCCCGCCCAGGATGCAGACTAAGACCCAAAGCCTTTGGGCCCTGCCCCCAAGATGACCCGATGAGCGGTGCCCACGTGGCCTACCTGCTCCAGCAGAGCAGATGCCATGCGCCCTGGGCCTTCCCTTGGGTATTGCGACCTACAAGTCTGCCCTAGAGACTTGGTCTAACAAAACCCAACTCTGCCACTGCCGATGCCCCAGACCAGGCCTGGCAAGGCTGAGGCTTCCTGGTGAATCTCCGGGCCTTTCTACTTCTTTTTGAGCCCAAACAGACCCTTCTGTGCATAAGGGTCCACCCCGCAGCTGGGGTCGAAGTCTTCGCTGTAGCCTTTGACAGGACCCCGCAGACAGCGGCTCTGCAAACTAAGGAGTGACTGGGTGGGTTGGGGACCCCCTCAGGATTCCTTCTCGGCATCAGTGCCTCGGTGCTGCAATTCAAAGGATGAATCACCACTGTTTCTTGACTGGCTCAAGAATTAGGTTCCCAGCAACCCACCCCCGAGCTCTCAAGCCACAGGGAGGCTGCATACCCTACTTGCCTGATTGCCACTTTTTAAATAAAGAAGACAAATTTTTATTTCTCTTAGAATGTGGGAAACGCTGTGTTGTGGGAAGGGGCGACAGGCTGTGGCTTTGTGAGAGACTAGGCGCTGCCTGGGGAACCCCTGGGGCTCAGCTTGGGGTTTGAGGCTCTGGGCAGAGTCTGGTTCATTCTCTTGGACAGAGGCCTAGGTTTCCTCATAGTGAAATGGGTGTAATGACCCTGGCCCAGGGAGTTGTAGGGCACAATCAAGGGGATCCAGGGATCCTCCAGGGTCAGACCCAGGTCCACAGGCCTGTCTGAGCCTCCATCAGAGGAAGCAGTGATGGGGCCATCCGCCAGTGACTTCCCTGGCCCCGAGGAACCTCCGGGAACCTGCCTGCACCAGGAGGGGGCCGGCCCAGGACTCTGGACTAAGAGAGGGAGGTAGAAGGCTTAGGCAGGAGAGGACTTAGCAAGGGCAGGCCCTGAGGGAAGTTGGGGGTCTGGGAGGTACTGGGGTCTAAAGAGACAGCGGACAGCCAGGCTTAGAGAGGACAGTTTATTGTCTCACAGGACAGTGCGGAGGGAGGGGGTTTCAGAGCTACTTCCCTCACACCCCAAAGACATACACTCTATCCTTCCCTTGGGCCACGGCTCTGGGGGTGACCCACAGAAGGGAGAGGAGGCTCACGCTGCCCCCAGGGGGTCCTCAGGTGGGGGGGGGACACAAAAGTGACCACATGCTTCTCAGACATGTCAGCGGCTGTAAACGTCGGGCTGAGGGGCTCCTTGCTGTGACGGTGGGGCTTGGTCCATCCTTGGTGGGGGAAGCAGAAGCCCAGCCCCTTTCAGGCCCAAGAGCAGTCTCAGAGGGCTGGGGGGGCTGGGCAGCCACTAGGACAATGTGCTACCCCCTGGGGCAGGCGGGTGAGCCGTGGCTTTGTTGCCACACACACGGACACGCACACGTGTGGGGAGCCGGGGCCAGGGCGCTAGAAGATGGGGATGTAGTTGTCGATCTTGGCGCGGTGGCGCTGGGCGATGCACTCGGCGATCCAGACGATGTTGCGACACTCCTGCTCCTTCAGCTTCACGAAGGCGTAGAAGACACCGAAGTGGAACTGGTTCAGGAAGGCCAACTTGTTCAGTTTGACCTGCGGAGAGAGGCAGGTGTGGTGTGCAGAAGGCCGTGACCTCGGAGAAAGGCCTGAGCACCCGCCCCTCCCGGCAGGCCCGGCGCTCACCTCGTGCTCAAAGAATCGGTCCTCCAGGGTCTTGTCTCCGGGGTTGCTGCCTGCACCCTCAAAGAGCAGCTTGTACTCCTGGCCAGGGGTGGGGGTGGGGGGAAGCACGGCATGAGGACGTAGCTGGGTGCGGGACGGGGATGCAGGGCCAGCGTGCTGACCCACCGTCCTCCCGCCAGGCACTCACCGGGTAGTAGTCAGCCACGTTCTTGACCTGCTCATAGTCGTCAGCCCGAGCCAGCTGGGCCAGGCCCTCAGGGTAGAGCCGCCCGCAGTGTGGAAAGAGCTTGGCTCGGTCCTCCTTGGACAGCTCTGTGCCGAAGGAGTTGATGGTGATGATGAAGGCGCGGCGGTCGGCTTCAAACTGTGAGGCCGGGCACAGGCAAGGAAAGAGGGAGCGGGAGGGAGGCCAGTAGCCAGTCAGCGGGCAGGGGTCCCCAGCCAGGGCTGCAGGGGGTCAGCAGGCAGGAGGGCTGGCAGGCACTCACCTCCAGGATGGGGCACATGACATCAGCTGTGGTCCCGCCCAGTAGGGTGCAGAACTTGTAGAAGGACTCCAGGTAGGCCTGTGCAGAACACGGGGCCTGCTCAGCCCCGCAGGAAGCCTGGGGGCTTGCCAGCTCCCTCCCAGCTCCCTCCCCAGCCCCTTTTATGGTGAGTCCAACATCACACCCATGGATTGGCCAGGACGGTCCTCATGTCAGAGCCTGAAACACCCAACTGTTAACTAGCCAGGCGGCAGCAGCCTGCAGCGTCCCACCAGGAGTGACAGCAATTCTGGCTGCAGGTCTGCTTCTGGGGGGCTCTGCCCCCATGGCCTCATCTGGCGGAGGACCAGACTCAGAGATGGGCTATCTGCCCCCTGCTGTGCTGCCTGTCTTTGTCCCCAGTCTCCCCTCCACAGCCCCAGAAAAGCAGGACTAGATGGGCTAGTGAGGAAGGGTCACTCCTGAGAAGTCACGCACTGGGTGCCCTGGCCCCTCTCGCGCCCCACCTTTCAGAACACCCCTCCTTCCCTTCCCTCCTCCAAGCCCCAGGCATCAGTCCCGGGAACCAAAGCGTCAGCCCGGCTCCTGCGGAGGCATGGTTATTGCCTACGCGGACGTCAGCCCTGCAGCGCAAGGCCGGGACACATGGACGGCCAGCAGGGGCAAGCACTTCCTGCCCCGGCAGACTGGATCTGCTGGGCAGGCGGAGGAGACAGAGCAGGACAGGTCTGACCCAGCACGCGCTCACAGCCAGCCACCACAGGCTCCCTCCCACCCCTCTCTCTGCAGCCCCTCTAGGGGTGGCTGGTCACAGCGCCTCAGGAGGCGTGGTCACAGGGACTCTGTGGGAAGTGAGGGCTGCGAGGCTTGGGAAGCTCTCGTGCCGTGCCGACTAGCCGCCCAGGCGGGGAGACCTTTCCATTCGCCACCCGTTGACTCGGGCCTGGGGCTGTGTCAGGAGAGAAGACGAGACGAGACCCAGGAGCCCACAGTCCACATAGAGCCTGGCCAGCAGCACTGGCAGACGGGGCGCAGGGGAAGGCCTTAGGTGACTCAAGTCTAGAACAGGACCTGGATTAAGAAGCCAGGAAGGAGAACGTGGATCCCAGCACAGAGGTCACCAGAAATCAGAGGGTGTAGGTGGCACAAACAGCTCCCATCCTATCGTGACTGGGTGCTCCTGGCCATTTCCTTTTCTGTGGCTGGCCAAGCTGGCTGTGTCCACCCCCCAGGCCTGCCCCAGTGGGGCCTAAGGTTTCTATCTGAGGGGAGGCTTCCCCAAGCCATACTGATCCCTGCAAGGCCGGCTCCCAGGTGGAGAAGGCAGGACAGATCCAGACGCTCCTCTGGAGGCTAGGACCGCTGAGAACACCTCAAAGACCCAGCGTCAAGGTCACCTTTTCGCCTCCACCCTGTCTGCTGGAGCCTGCCCGCCCATGGTTGCTGCACCAGCCGCTTACAGTTCCACCAGGGGGCTGAGGGTCCATCTAATCTCCCATTTGTGGCCACTGGGCTGAGACACCGTTGGACGGGCAAGCGGTCCTGGCACAGGGCCCGCGCCATCAGATCGTGTTTATGAGCTGGGGCCTAGGCAGCCCTCATCGGTAACTCCAGCTGAAACCAGTTAGGTCTGGCGAGGGTGTGGGTGAGGCTGGGGGGATAGCCGCACCCCTTACCCAGTCTCAGGGCAAGGAACCCGGCAGCGGGCCAGCAGGGAGGGCGGGAGCACAGGCATGCGCCCTGACGCCAGGTGAGAGCACTTGCTTGGCAGATAGGCAGAGCTGGGTATGATCCCCAGGGCCGCCAGCGTCTAGCGGGTGGCATCAGGCCACCTGCCCTATGTCTCTAAGCCCTCAGTTTCTCATCTTACAGATGGGGATACAGATGCCTCCAGAGCTCCTGGGCCACCCTGAGCATTACAGAAGGTGATAATCTTCCTGCCTCTAGGCTCATCCCTGCTAATCCGGCCTCCACGCTGCAGCCGGATGGGGCTTTCCGATGAGTCCCTGCCCTGTGGAAACCTTCACTGGCTGACCCTGCCCACAGATAAGGCTCAAACTTCTGGCCAGGTGGCTGGACCCTGTGCCTGCCTCTCCCTGCACAACTGCCTCCTGCTCTTCTGGAACCTGCACTTCCTCAGCAAAGTGCTTGCTGCCCATGCTCCCGGCTTGCCTTCTGCAAGTGCTGCCCTGGTGCCCACACCACTGCGGCCTCCAGGCAAGCCCTTCCCTCCACCAGGCCACCCCTGCACTCTGGCCCAGGCACCTGTGGCAGGACTCAAAGGCCTGGGCTCAGGCTGCAGCCAAGGCTGGCCAGCAGCCAGGGCAAGAGCAGATCACTATAAAGATCTGCTGGACAGAGGTCCTCGCGGCTAGGTCAGCAGCCCGGTGCCATCCTCAGCCCGCATTCAGGGCCTGCCCATGGGACTGCTGACCCATGTCCCTGGCTATAGCCCATCAGTTCAGGATCACCAAGACCAGAGCCCAGTCTGTCCCAAATGTCCTGCACTGGCCCCTGGCCATGACCCTTCTTCCCTTGCTTCTTAGCCCTGCTCTTCACCTCAGGGCAGTGTTCACCTGGGAACCCCAAGTTCACTTACTCTATCTCAGGGGTCACCAGCCTGTGCCACCACCTGGTGAAAAGCAGAAGGTGGGTGGGCATGAGGATGGGGGTCGTGGCACGGGCCCTGGGCGGGAAGCTCAGGACACAGGGACTTGTGGGGACACAGCGACGCCTGGCTGGGGCCCTGCCCCCACGGCACCAGACACAGTCTGGCCTCTGCTCAGGGCCTGTCCGAGCTGGCAACAGCTCAAGTCGGGGAGCCCGAGGGCTATGGCCTGGGTGGTGGCCCGTGACCCTCCTGGATGCAGGGGGAGCGGCCGTGCAGGAGCCAGCTCTGACAGGCCACGCTGTGGAGAGGCCGCCACTCCCACTGATCTTAATCACCTGCCGCGGGCACCGCGGGACAGAGAACTTGTTCCGTGCAGCCTTGCGCCCATCACAGGAGCCGGGAGTGAGTGGTTAAGCCCCCGGGATAGGAGCCTGGCGCAGATGTTTCCCGTCCCCGGCACCCCACATAAATCATGGGCCCATCACGCCCACGACCCCACCCATCTACGCCCAGTCCGCCTGCCCGCCCCCCGGCCTGTCCGCGGGGGCACTACCTTGTAGAGTGTGTTGCGGATGATCTCAATGTTCATCTCGTCCAGGTCCTGCTCTGAGATGCAATCCTGGAAAAAAGGCGCTGGGGAGGAAAGACACGCGTGTGAAGGGTGGGCTGGCAGGCGGGGCTGCGGCGAGGGTCCTGCGGATGCTGAACTGCCCTGTGGGGCACAGAGGGGCTGGGTGTTGGGGGGTCCCCACACTGGTCTGGGCTATTGCCTTGGAAGTGGCAGAAGCAA